TCCAATTGGCCCTACCCCAGTCTGGTCCCCTCGCCTGACTGAGGACTCTGTGGTCAAGGATAGTGTTTCCAATTCCAGCACTGCCACTTTTACCCTCCCCCCCCCATAAGTGGTCATACTATATTTTGAAGTAGGTAAAGATTGACAGTTCTAATCCACCAGCTGAACTACAGAGCATGAATGAGACAGCCTTCTTCTGTTAAGATATATTGATCTGGAAAGTTGATGGAAAGTAGTCCTGAGTTGGAATCAACTCTGTGGTAGTGGGTTTGTGGAGTTTTTTGTTTTAACATAAGATAATAGGAATAACCAAAAGCTAGAAAAATTGCACTAATTTGACACAGACCCAAGTGTTCTTTTTCATGTCAAAGCAAATTTTGAAAGATACTAAAAATAGAGAGCTCAACATGTAAAAAAATCTACCTCATGTATAAACCCTTAAAATATTATGAGAGTGAGATGTGTTTCATTTTTAACCTAAATTTGACCGTTAGCTATATTAAGTTATTTATATTTTCTTCAAATGTATCCACATCCTATAAAGTGCTTAATTTTCCCAAATTTTTATCTTGAAAATTAGTTAAATACTAACAAGATAATTAACAATTAACCAAAGTCACACCCCTCAAGTGCTTGTTGTTGCTAGGTGCTATTAACTCATAATGACCCTGTGCACAAGGGAACAAAATGCTGCCTGGTCCCATGCCATCCTCACAGTCACTGCACTGCATGCTATACTATTCTGAGTCCATGTGTAACAGCATCATATCATATGGGCCTTTGTATGCATGTGTTCTTGTTGTTGTTATGTGCCGTCGAGTCACTTGCGACTCATAGCGACCCTATGTACAACAGCCCTAAACTCTGCTCTGTCCTGTGCCAATCACACTGTCTCTGACACTCCCATCCCAATTATCCCAGTCACTGAATCAATCCACCTCATAGAGGGCCTTCCCCTCCTGTGCCGTCCCTCCACCCTCCCAAGCATCATGTCCCTCTCCAAGGACCGGTCTCTCCTCACAACATGTCCAAAGTATGTTAGATGGAGCCTCAGAATCATTGCCTCCAAGGAGCCACCTGGTTTAACCCTATGTAGGATGAATCTGTTTGTTTTCCTAGCAGTCCATGGTATTCTCAATACTCTTCTCCAGCACCACAGCTCAAAGGCATCAAGTCTCCTTCTATCCTCCTTGGTCATTGTCCAACTCTCTGATGCATAACAAGTGATTGTGAAGACCATGGCCTGTATCAGATGCACCTTAGTCTCCAGAGAGACACCATTGCTCTTCAGTACTTTGGAGAGGTCCCTAACAGCAGACTTCCCATGGCAATGTGCCTTTTAATTTCCTGGCTACTGGTGCTAGGAGTGTTGACTGTGGAGCCAAGCAAACTAAAGCTGAGAGCAATCTCAATCTCTTCACCATCCATCCTGATGCTGCCAATTGGTCCAGTGTTGAGAATCTTTGTCTTTTTGACGTTGAGCCTCAGTCCATACTGAGTCCTCTTCAGGTCCTCTTCAATTTCAGCAAGGAGGGTTGTGTCATCTGCATAACACAGATTGTTGATAAATCGTCCATGTCCACCAATCTTAACCCCACATTTCTCCTCATAGAGCCCAGCTTCCCAGATAATCTGTTCTGCATATAGGTTGAAAAGGTATAGAGAAAGGATGCATCCCTGGTGTACGCCCTTCCCAATTTTGAACCGTACAGTGTTCCCTTGCTCTGTTCTGACGACTGCCTCCTGGTCCAAGTATAGGTTTCTCATTAGCATGATCAAGTGTTCTGGGATTCCCATTCTTCTCAGAGTCAGCCACAGTTTGTTATGATCCACACAGTCAAATGCCCTTGCATAGTCAATGAAACACAGATAGACATTCCTCTGGTATTCTCTGCTTTCAGCCAAGATCCATCTAACATCAGCTACATTATCCCTAGTAGCACACCCCCTTCTAAACCCAGCCTGGACTTCTGGTAGTTCTCTGCTGATGTGCTGTTCTAGTAGTTTTTGGATTATCTTCAGTAAAATCTTGTTTGCATGTGAAATCAGTGTATTAGTATCTTCTCTGTATACATATAAGACGCTGACAGCGAAATAGAATGAAGGGAATTTCTTTTTCTCCTTTATTGTCTTTTTCTCAGAAAATAGACAGATCTCATAACTGTATTATTTAAAAATTGAAAACCATGTAGGATAACTTTGGACTTAACTCTGTTTCCCGTGTGTGTGTGTGTGTGTGTGTGTGTGTGTCTATCTGTCCTAAATTTTTTAAGGAATGTTACTCTGACAGAAAAATTTAAATTTTCAGTACAGCAAAAAGTTCATTAGCAATGAAGGAACCAGAAAGCTCCTGTTCTGACATATTTTTCTGTTTGTATTGAACATGACCTCCTCAGGAATTTGCCATTTTTAACATAGCATACCATGATCCATGTGAACTCAACACCCGTCCGTATAAGAAGTGAATTCTGTAATGTTGGACTTAATTTTTATTTCTGTTTCAGAGTGTCCATATATTGGAAAGAACCACTTCTTCTGGCACCGAAGCCTCTGTAAGTCGACAGTTGCTAGAACCGGAACCAGTCCCCCTCTCCAAGGTCAGTAATGGACTGTCATCTTTGGTATAATCCTAGGCATAATGCCTGCTCCAGAACTAGTCAAAGTGTGGATAACCTTTACATCTAATTCCCCAAATGTAGGTATGAACAGTAACAGGGGTAATAGTCCATTTCTTTCTGCCTCATTATGTAGAGTTTCTCTGTTTTGGGTGAGGTGACAATGGATGAATGTAAAATTTATTAGCATTTTCAGGATTATATCCAAATTCTAAAATTCTTGCAGCAATTTCACTGCTGGGAATACACCCTAAAGAAATCAGAACTGCCACCCAAACAGATATATGCACACCCCTGTTTATTAATGTATTATTCACAATAGCAAAGAGATGGGAAGAACCCAAGTGCCCATCAACAAATGAATGGATAGAGAAGCTGTGGTATATTTACATGATGGAGTACTATGCAGCACTGAAAACCAAGGAACTCATAAAATATTATACAGAATGGGTGACGCTGGAGGTCATTATGCTGAGTGAAACATCCCAGTCAGAAAAGAACAAATACTGCATAATGCCACTGTTATAAAACAGGACTGACATGGTGGTTGAGAGGAAACTAAGAAAAGAGGGGATAAATAATGTACATTGCATTGAAAGAGATGAGGAATAAAACTGTTTAAAAGAACTATATGATTGGGCATTATTTGCATGACAACAGTCCAGAATAAGAGCTGCATAAAGTAAAGTGGACTGGGAGGGGGTGTGTGGAATTGTACAACACTTAAAGGATTATTTTTCAAAGAGAAAAGCAAACTGAGGGATGTGGGCAGGGAGGAAAATGTGCAACAATGAATGGGAATCCAAGTTCTCTATAAATTTTCATTAAAGTCTCAATTTTTTTAACAAGATTAAATTAAAAAAAATAAAATAAAAAGAAGGCAAGGAAACCTATTGCTATGCCCTGTTAGAAAGATGAGCAATTACTTCAGTGCAAAGCTCCAGTGAAAGATCTCTGAGTCTTGCAGTAATAATATTCATAATAACAGCTACCATTTTTGCACAACATACTGCACACCAGGCACGGTGCTAAGTGCTTCAACACATTTCATATAATCCTTTGAATAGCTCCATGCTGTTTACAAATATGGAACAGAGAGTTACTCACTTTCCCAAAGTCAACCAAAGCTGTTAAGTAGCAAAACAAGAAGTTAAACTTAGATTTGTCTAAATCTACAACCAGTTCTTTTAAGTCCTACAGCACCTGCAAAGTAACGTAATCCTCGAAGAGGGAACCTGTTGCCCATTCATAATTCGAGTATCTCTCACACATTTGACCTTCCTAACTTACATGCTGTTAGGAGGGGCCAGTCATTTGAAAACAATGTCATGCTTGGAAAGATGATGGAGGGTAAATGAAGGAAGGGAATACCTTCAATGAGAATTGATTGACATAGTGACTGTAACAGTAGTTTCAGAGATAAACAATATAAATAGAGGATATCAGAGATAGTGAGGATGGTGCAGTATAGAGTAAAGTTCAAATCCGTTGTTCGTAGGGTCACTGTGAGTCATAGTCAACTTGATGGTACCTAACAGTAAAGAAAAAAAAATTCTATGTTAAAGCATTTCTTTGTGTTCCCTCTTCTTAGTCCTCAGACTTAACAGACATCTAAATGCATTTCTCTATGAAAAACAAAATTCATAAAAAAAAGCTAAGAGCCTCTAGATGCCATCCTATTGCTCCCAGAACCCTCTGTGGCTCTCAGAAGTATTCAACAGCTTGACTATTTTATCAAAGAACCCTGAAAATGTAATGCGTGTTCATTTCAGATTGTTTAAAGAACTCTTCGCATAGCCAAATCAACACCAACAATTGTACTTCTGTATGTAGTTGAGTCATTTGGGTTCCTTCGGGGATAACCAAGGGGATGATGATGAAAGGGAAGGGTGGGAAGATGATGGCATGATGCTGGGTGTGGAGAGCCTTTGGCGGGCAGGGCCTTATCTTCCTGTTACAAACATTAGGATAAAAGAATGTTCAGCCACATTTCCTGGAAGTACAATTTAATGCAAAAACCCCATGTCTATTACACATACTTGAACTTAAAGCATACAGATTTCATTTGGTCAGAAGGAAGGAACTTCTGTGATGTGGAAGCTTCTGTGATGTAGGAAGACAAGAAGAAAGGGAAGGAGGAAGGGGCAGCAAACATGCAAGCCCTCTCCCTTCTGCTTCCATGTCACCGTCAGTACTGGATCACAGCACCTTAACCTCCAATGTTTGTTACAGCAGAGTCTGAATAGCTGCCAAATGGCCATTTGAGCAACAGATTCATCTACCATGAGATGAAATCCATCAGCCCTTCTGATCAAGGCCCTTATCCAAGGGCCTAAGGGGATAATTTCTGATTCCTACATTAATTTAGGGTGAAGCATTCTGCAGGGGCCCATTTCTGATCCAAGAACACATCATCCAGTTTTCTGAGGCTGTTGTTGTTTTTGTTGGTTATGTGTATTGAGTCCCCTGTGACTCACAGTGACCCTATGAACAATAGCTTTGAACCCTGCCCTGTCTTGAGCCAGTCTCACTGACTCCAACACATCTACCCTCATTACCCCAGTTACTGTGTCAGTCTATCTCAGTCAAGGTCTTCCTCTCCTATGCTGTCCCTCCACCCTTCCAAGCATGATGTCCTTCTCCAAGATCTGGTGCTTCGTGGCCATGTGCCCAAAGTATGTGATATGGACCTCCAACATCCTTGCCTCCAAGGAGAAACTTGGTTTCACTCTTTTCAAGAAATACCTGTTTATCCTCTTGGCAGTCCATGCCATGGTATGTTCAGTAGTCTTCTCCATCACCATAACTCAAAAGCATTGATTCTTCTTCTTCTTCTTTTGTCATCCTTAGTCATTGTCCAGCTCTCTGATGCACAGCAAGTAATTGTGAAGACCATGGCCTGGATCAGGTGCCCCTTAGTCCCTAAACTGACATCATTACTCTTTGGCATTTTGGAGAAGTCCCTCACAGCAGACTACTCCAATGCAATTCATCTTTTCTGACTGCTGGTACCAAGAATATTGATTGATTCAGCAAGCTGAAATTATTAACAATCTCAATTTCTTCTACATCTATAGTGGTTCTGTCAGTTGGCCCTTTGGTGAGCATCTTTGTCTTCTTGATGTTGAGCTTCAATCCATATTGAAGACTACAGTCCTTGAACTTCCGCAACTAACATTTCAGGTCCTCCTCAGTTTTGCCAAGCATCTTGCAGGTGATAGATTATTCTTCTTCCAATCCTGATGCCACATTCCTCCTCATAAAGCCCAGCATCTCAGATGATCTGTTTCAAAGATTTAAAGGGGCAGCTCAGAAGACAAAACAAAGTATTATAATAAAGTGTGCAAAGAGCTGGAGTTGTAAAATCAAGAGGGCTGAACTCAGTATTTTTTTTCATTTATTATTAATTTCAATGAAAATTTACAGATACTTTGGGTTTCCATTCATTCATTGTTGCACTTTTCTCCCCTCCCAACCCTCCCCCCTAGTATACTACCCTCTTGGAAAAGTAAAAGAAAAATTCTTTCATTGTTTTACAAACCCTCCCCCAGGTCTACTCCACTATGCAGCCTTAGCTCTGGACTCCTGTCATGACAAAAATACCTAATCACATATCCCTTTTAAACAGTTTTCTCCCTCATCTGTTTCAATGCAGTATACATTATTGAACCCATCTTTCTCAGTCTCCCCCCAAGGTCAGTGCTGTTTTACAACAGTGGCACCATGCAGTAGTTGTCCTTTTATGACTGAGATACTTCACTCAGCATAATGTCCTCCAGGATCACCCATTTTGAATTCTATTGCATGAGTTCCTTGTTTTTCATTGCAGCCTAGTATTCCCTTGTGTGAATATACCACAGCTTCTCTATCCATTCATTTGTTGATGGGCATCCAGGTTGTTTCCAACTCCTTGCTATTGTGAACAAAGCTGCAGTAAACATGGGTGTGCATATTATCTGCTTGTATGTCAATTATGGTCTCTTTGGGGTATATTCCCAGTAGTGGAATTGCTGGGTCAAATGGTATCTCTATTTGCAACTTTTTGAGAAAGCGCCATACTGCCTTCCACAGTGGTTGCACCATTTTATACTCCCACCAACAGTGAATAAGGGTTCCAATTTCTCCATAACCTCACCAGCATTTGTTGTTTGCTATTCTGTTAAAGTTTGCTATTCTTACTGGGGTGAGATGATATCTCATAGTTGTTTTAATTTGCATCTCTCTTAGAGCTAGGGATTTTGAACATTTCTTCATGTGCTTGTTAGCCATCTGAATGTCTTCTTTGGTGAAGTGTCTGTTCATATCCTGTGCCCATTTGTCTATTGGATTATTTACTTTTATCTTGTTATGTGTGTGTGCATCTGTCTTTGCGAGAGACAATTTCCGTGCATGTGAAAAGGAAAGGCATGCAGTCTCAAAGAGAAGAAACCAACTATGACTCGCCAGCTACACTTCCATGTCCACAGCACTTTAAGAGCCACATCACACCCACAGTAGCCTTTCCAGAACAGAAAGTTCGATCTGTACAGTTAATTGTACATTTGTCTCCAAAACAGTCTTACTTTGAAACCTTTAAGTGCCTCTCTACCCAGAGGTTAACTGCCTGGAAAGATGCATTTTAAACATTCTGAGTACAGGTCATCGAGATACCATTCTGCTCCCAACACATGAAGTGGCTCCAGTGAGTCTCTAGTGAACCCTTCTCTGCATGACGATGCATGGGAAAAGCGTTTGAACTTCAGTCCAAAGAGCATAGTTTGTTCAGGAATGTGGTTTAGATTTTTTTTTTCTGGTGAATTAAGCGTTGGTTCAAAAGCACCTTCTACCTAAAACCCTGCTCTAAGCAGATCAGGAAGCACTTTGAAGTGCCCAACTTGTTTTTCTTCTTTCCTCTTAGGAAGCTGACAGCTGGGAAATTATAGAAGGGCTGAAAATAGGCCAGACCAATGTCCAGAAACCAGACAAACATGAAGGCTTTATGCTGAAGAAAAGAAAATGGCCTTTAAAAGGTTGGCACAAGGTAAAATTTCAGTCTCATTCGTGTTCATATCATCTTCAGTAAGAGAGGAGCTTATTTGATGTCACTAAGTAGGAACAGAGAGATTGATTGTGTGTATAAAACTAATTTTCTAAGCCTCTTCTTCACCATATGGGCTGCATCCTATCAGATGTACTTGAGTCATCTGTGATACAATATGTATGCAGAGAAAAATATTTTGTATGACATTTAAAATCCAATTTTCTACATATTGTTTTGTAATCTTTTTCCCCTTAAATTAGTTTGAATATGCTTTCAATTCTATTAAATATCCTTCTAAATATGAAGGTTTTCTAAGTACAAGCATGTATTTTATTGAACTGGAAAGCCCACCGTTGGGTTGATCAATTCCTTATTACTGAATATGTAAGAGAGGGCTAATATTTACTGTTGTGATGTGGTAAGCATCTTTATACATCATGAATGTCTGTTTAGTTTCATGATATGAATTTTCAGAATTAGTGCTTGCAACACAAGCTGAACTTGGAATATCAGGGATCCTGGAAACATATTTGCTGCCCTTTATGAAATATATAGTTTCTTTTTCTTTCATCCCACCACATCTTTTTTCCTGGGCCCTAGTTTGAGTCGAACTTCAGTGGCCTAGTGCTATGGAGTTCCACTGCCAACCCAAAGGTATGTGGTTCAAATCCACCAGCTTCCATAAAAGAAAGATAAACAGTTTCCTCCTGTGCAATTTCCAGCTTCTGAAAACCTTCTAAAGGGTCAGCTATGGCTTAGTTCTGACCCAATGGTACAACAAGCAGTTTTAATTATGGATAAAATAGTTTTACTATGTTAATGCAGTTGCTTGAACAAGAATTCTGTAATCCTAAGAGAGAAGGAACCAGTGGTGGTTTTGTAGTAATATTCTTACTTTCACTGCTGGAAACCAGTTCGATTCCACCAGCTGCATGGGGCTCTGATGAGACGGCTTCCAGACCAAGAAGAAAGGCCAGGCAGTTTATTTTTGATAGTCAGTGAAAACTCTGTAGATCACAGTGATCTGATCCACAGTGGGCTGCAGGGCCTGGCCGGACATGGCAGCATTTCATTGTATTGTAGGTGGGGTCATCTTGAGCCAGGAGCTCCCTCAAAAGCCACTAACAGCAACAAGAAAAAGATTTCTTTCTCTTTCAGTATAAACCCTCAGGTAGACCACCCAAGCTCTTCCAAATATTATGAAGAGAATCCCTGCTCCTTAACCACATCTGTTCTTTATTGTTAAATCTAATATAGGTAACGAGGGATTATAACTTATTGGAGAAAGTGTTCTTTTTCTATTTCAAAGGAAAGACTAAAAGTAAGCAGCTGGGAAATATTGCCTCACTCCTCTGTCTCTAACAGTGAAATGGAAGTAGTCAAAGAAGCTTCTGACTTCTTTGCTCTGCTCCAACAGAAGTTTCCCTCAGTCCATAATTTCCCAGAGCTCGGACTCTCTTCCCTCTCTTGTTTTTTCCTGGATTTTGGCCCACCTGACCATTCTCCTCCTTTTACCTTTAACTCTGACCTTAACATTTTGCAGTTTCTCGAATCAAAGGCTTTGCTAATCTTTGTTTCCCCATGACTGTCCTAGAAACTATCTCTGCTGAGAGTCTTTGATCATGGGGAATCAACAGGGAAGAGGGCAGAGAAACAAATTTCCTGTGAATCACTATGTTGTATTGTTCTGAATCTACCTCTGTGCAAAACTGGCTAAGTTTCAACAACACTTCTTGGATCGTGCCCTTAAACAATAAAGGCATTTTGTTGAGCCACAATGAACAGCAGGAGCTGCCCCTTACTTAGTAAGTACCTGGGTGGTGCAGATGACTAAGTACTTGACTGTGGACTAAAAGGTTGGTGGTTCAGACCCACTTGGAGGCGCCTCAGAAGGAAGGGCCTGGCAATCTGCTTCTGAGAGTCTACAGCCTTGAAAATACTCTGCACACTCAGGGTCATCCTGAGTCAGAATCAACTCAGTGACATCCAATAACAACAGCATCCTCTGCCTTGACAGACATTTATTCAGCCGCACTTGAGTGTCCAAGTCACAGACAGGTTAGCAATCAAGTGGTTTTTAATGGTAGTGGTGGTTTCTTCCTGTGTATAATTGTTGCCTCCCAGAACTTGTAACAGAGAAAATAGAATGGTTTTCTCTGATCTCCCTGCAGCCTGTCCTCTGGCCTCCTTGTCTGTTACCTCAGCTGCTCAGAGTTCCTGAATCAAATAAAAACTTCCCAGCAGGGTGATTTGTTTTTTTCTCCATTTATAGAAAGATTCCCTGCATCTGTAGGTAGAAGAAGAGCTGCTGGGCCCAAAGTCCTGGAGCTGTTCTATGACTTGTCTAGGAGGGGAAAAAAGCAGAAAAAGATGCTTCAGAATGACTAGTGAACAAAGGTGGAAACATCTGTTTATATCTGAGTAGGAACACCGAAAAACTCACTGCTTTTGAATTGGAACTAACTCATAACTGTCTTCCCAGTGGGCTGCCAAGATTATAAATTGATTAGGATGTGATTGTCCCTCCTTCTCCCATGGATGGATTCCAGCTGCCGGAGAGGTGCAGCCTATGGATTAGCAGGGCAAGCCCCTACGGCCTGCCCCACCAGAGCTCCCTAGAGTGCCTTGGAGGAGACAGAGAGAGAGAGAGAGTGAGTGTGTGTGTGTGTGTGAGAGAGAGAGAGAGAGAGAGTGTGTGTGTGTGTGTGTGTGTGTGTGTAAATTCTAAATGCAGTCTAGATATAATTTTTTGCTAATAGTGAAATACAAGTGAGTGTACTGCTAAGTGGAGATATGATGCCACTTTTTAAACTTTCCAGATAATTCCGTATTCTCTAATGAGTATGAGCCACCTACTGCGCATCAAGTACACAGGAAGATCAAGGTGAAAGGTTCTGTGTAGACAAACTCTTCACGACATCATTTAGTGATCTAATCCAGACTCTTCTTTCCTACGCTTGCCAGGAGACAAAGCATTTGCTTTTCATTTTTATCTGTTCTCCTATTTTAAGTTTTGCAAATATCCTAATGTGATTAATTTAGAAGGTCTCAGGTACAAACCCTAAGATTTCTTCCCTGTTGGGATAAAAACACTGTTCAAAGGCTCCTTGCCCACTGGATTATGTGTAAAAAGAACCCTGGTGGGTTAAGAGTATGCGAGGGATAAAGCTTCTGTCTCCAGTTTAGTGTGACAAACTATGTCCAAGTTTGCTGGACACAAATACTTTAAAATGATCACACATATTGATTACTAAATGCCAAGAAGCATTAGACCCACATTTGTGCATGTTATACATAATTCAGAATGCAGACGGTAACTGTGGGTTGTTTGATTCTTGCAGCGCTTTTTTGTCCTGGATAATGGAATGTTAAAGTATTCAAAGGCCCCACTTGATGTAAGTAGCACACAGGACATTTTTCCAAAGACTGATTTAGCATTCTGCTTGAAGTGAGTAAATATCATCATTGTACAAGCCTTCTGCTGTAGTCACCAACTGCACATTTCTATACCTGTAACATTTAACAAGCTACCAAACTGTCATGTCCCATCCAAGGCATGTTTTATGTTTATAATCAAGCTAATGTAAAATTTCAAACTGGTGAGAGCTTACACTCGGTGAGTTTACATAAATGCAGTGTGTATCTAACTATCATGTTGTATGTTATTAAAAACAACAGCTTAAATCCTAAATGCAGTGCACATCTAAAATGACCCTTTTTCTCTCTTGGAGAGAAAATTAACAATAGTGTTTTCTGCATCTCTCAATAAACTGCTTTGCATGCTTGTTTTTGAGATTTGAAACAATCTTCGTTCTTGTTGATGCCCTTTTATACTCTCTCTTTTAAGCTTCATTTGTTTCATACATCTAAATTTCTTGAGGATCACAGTTCACTAAAGTTGTTTTAAATTCTTTGTCTTTGGTGTGATTTGTTATTTGCATGCAATACTAGGAATTTCCCTCATTGTTATCACTGTGGAAATAGCGGACGGAGAGAGGATTCAGATGTAGCTTTGCCTCCAAGTCTGCCTTTGAACCGGCTGTGTGTCCTTGCTAAAACAAGGACAGCTAGAAGCTAGAGTCTGCTGCTCCAAGCTCTCTGGCCCCAGCTGCCCAGTTCTGCCCCAGTGGCTGTTGCCAGTTGAGTACTCTAGGATGTTCTAGGCTGTGGGTCAAAGACTGGCCACTGTTATTTTGGGAGCTACTAAAAATGTTTTTTTAGGAGATATGAACTGTGAAATCTATAATTATGAAAACTTGACATTGTAGGTTATGCCAAAAATAGAAATAGGTAAGACATGAACAATCCTACTTAGTTGAAATTGGTGAGAATTCATTTACTCTTCAGCTATCCTCAAGTTATGAAAACTTTTCCATTTTCTTTTTTCAAAAGGAGATGGAATGTTGTCATTTCCATAGATATGTGAGAGACCACTTTGAGCTGTCATATTCTAATTCCTAAGATTTATTAAAGATTACATTGAGGTTCCTTGGATTAATCTCAGAAACACATCTAATCATCTATCCCTGCAGCCTATTGACCAGTCTTTTGATTTCAGATTCAAAAGGGGAAGGTCCATGGGAGCATCGATGTTGGCCTCTCGGTCATGTCAATTAAGAAGAAAGCGCGGAGAATAGACCTGGATACAGAAGAACACATCTATCATCTGAAGGTGAAAGCGCTTCCCCACAGTTTCTCTGCCAAAGGAAATCACTGTCTGATGTCCCGGGTGATCAGGTAGCTAGTTAGTTTCCAGATTACTTTGTCCTCTTGCTCTTGTTTTAGGTAAAATCCCAGGACTGGTTTGATGCATGGGTCTCCAAACTACGACACCATCGCTTGTATCGTCAGAATGAAATTGTGAGATCACCCCGAGATGCTAGTTTTCACATATTTCCTTCAACCTCCACAGCTGAATCCTCACCAGCTGCTAATGTTTCCGTTGTGGACGGAAAGGTATGACTTTGTACTCTGGATTGTTGTACTTTTGACTAAGAGAGGCAATGAGTCTGTTGAAGCTGATGTGAGTAAACTACTGCTACTGAATAAGACAGTAATAAAAGTGTGATAGTCCAGAATAAGAGGTGTACAGCAAAGTGGTCTTGGGGGCAGGGGGAGGCAGGAAGTTGTGCAACAATGAAAGAATCTTTTTCAAGAGAAAAGTGAACTGGGGTTGGGGGGTAAGGAGAAAAATGTGCAAAAATGAATGAATGGAAATCCATGTTTTCTGTAAACTTCCATTAAAATATCAATTAAAAAAGAAAA